AATCGCTATCTACTGTCATCCTGATTGCTCTTTTCTTTTCCTGCTCATTATTAATCATTCTGTTCCTAATTCTTCAATACCCTGTAACCCATTATGTATTAGTGGCTTTACTGCCTTGCATGGGGTAATACATATTTAAAAAAACAGAAGAAATTACCATTAGAACATATTAAATGTACAACACCAGCTTTCAGATTCCGGACGAAAAAACTCCTTGTATAGCTGTGTTTGCAGAAACTTCAATTTATATAATTCTATCAAATCGAGTATAACAATGTTATATAAAAATCGTGCTCTTTTTGTCTGCAATTATTAAAACGTTGGGACGATAGGTGCAAGCAAAGAAAAATAATAAAAGGTAAGAAGAAACATAATTAAGGAAAGGCATTTGGCAAGTTGTGAACTAATAAAGCTATCATAATATTTCTCTCTCCTCAGAAAGTATTGACTATATTGGAGAATAGAAGTAAGCAATTTAAGACCAATGTCAAAGTAACAATTTGCTCTTTGTTTCGAGAGATTGTAGTGAGCCCAAATGAAAAAATATGAAAATAAAATCTGTATATATTTCTAAGAATACAGCTCGGAAGGTTATAAAAGTGGATAAAAGCGTTGGTTGAGTGATCAAAAATGACTTGACCCAAAGTTCTTGTGAGTTCAATACCTTACCACAGCAGAGGAGACAAAAAACAAAAAAACAAAACAAAAACAAAAAAACTTAGAGATTTGAGTTGTTAAAGGGAGATAACTGAAACTGAGATATCCAAAGGCATGTCTCGTAGAATTTGAACAATCTACTCCCATGGACTAAATAAAAAGTTCAGTTTGAAATTTCAAAGTATATCACCTGAAGAAGGTCGGAGCGTACAACGGCCGAAACGTCGTGAATATGTCAATAAAGTTGAGAACAACAGTCTGAACAATGTAAATAGTATAAATGAAAAAAAAAGTAAAAAAAAGAGAATTCAAGTTAAAATATGGCATTTGCTTTCCCTTTAAAACCCATGTCTTTCTCTCTCTCTCGTCTCTACCCTTCTCTCTATATACTTCTCTCTCAACTCATGAGAAGATAACCCTCAAAGAAGAAGAAGAAGAAAGGACTTAACAAAAGGACTGCGAAACGGAAGTTTGTTGGTCCAGGGTCTAGTTATTGTGACCAGAAATCTACCAAGATAAGAGCGGCTCCACGCATAACTTAAGCTATAAAAAATGATGAAGAAAGGAACGCTGGAAAATAAAAGAATTTTCGCCAATAAAAAAACAAAGAAATTTTTTTTTATGTTAGCCGAAACCAAGTTTCGCGCCAAATAGTCTGGAGCCTTTCTTAAGTGTGGAAAAAGAGACAGACGACATGTAGCAGGAGCGAAGGGACAGCCGGAGAAACCAGTTAAGCGTGTTGCATGAAGAAACTAATCGGTCAACTGCTTAAGACATTTTCCCACCACTCTGATGGCCAAGAAAACACAGCAGAGTAACAACACTCCCGACTACTACCACGTCCCGACTCGTAAATTATCAACTACTCAGCTGCACGGACTTTCGCGAAACCCGAATTACAAAGGACTCGCTCCAATCGAAGTCAAATAAATAAACATATATTATTTGATTATAACTTTGATTCGGTTCCTTTATTCCGAAGTTTCCGAAAATATTACTAAGATCCACTGGCGCTTATCCATATTATCTGCCCAAATGAGATAAAAATTGAGATTAGAAAAATATATTATAAAACAGATCCCGTTATTTTGAAAGAAATTATTTATGGGCTTGTAAAATCCGTCGTCCGATTCACACCCCTCCTAGATCTTTTGAACAGAATTTTATCCTTTTTTTCCTGTTTAGGATTGGGTTCCTGGTTCCTTCTAAAGCCTATTTCAACTCTTGACTTCCAACGTCTCCGCCTAAAGTTATGGACATTTATTTACTATTTATTTCCTTTTTTCCCTCAATATGAGTAAATGGGTTTACCTATCGCCCGGTTCACATTCCTCCAGATCTTTTGAACACGAGTAGGGGTTTTTATCCCTTCTTTCCTGTTTAGGATTAGGTTTTCGGTTCCCTCGTTGGATTTGGACAGACTGATCAATCTATTTGCCTGTCAAATTATTTTACGTCTCCCAACATTCGAAATATTTTTAGACATCTCACGAAATCACTGCATCAAGAATTAAAGAACTTCATATTTTTATCGAAGTTTTCAGTATACCCAATATATTAGAACGTTCGCTTTCCAAACTTGACATCCGGGTTCGAATCTCAACATGGTCGATTTGTCAGGAAGGTGACTTCTTGATGCTGTCGGGGTGGCGAGATCAGTGTATATCAAATTTGGAAAAAGCCTGAAAACAATATCAGGGGTTGTAAGTGAAACTGCAGACGGAACTATTTTGGGAGGCGTCGATGGTTGTCCTAGAACGAAGTCATAAGTCATCATGATCGAGTGTTTGAACGTACTGGCTTTGTTCAGATTGATGATTACGACAGATAATGCACTATCTCCCAGAAACTGTAACTAAGATCAGCTTAGCATAGTTGCACTATAAAGCATAGGTGGGCATTGTGGGTGTTGAACAAACACAAATGTGCCTAAACAGGCGTCTGTCATAGTAATTGTCTAGCCGCCCTAGTAAACTGACATACTCGGATACGAGTAGCCAGCCCTTATATTATTAGTACAACTTTACTTTTGATATGATTATATTGACTGTTCCATAAATAGCAGTCCCAGGAAAGAAGCTTTCAGTGGAGAGTGAGGATGGATGGACCCTGTGTGCATGGGATGGTAATTCCTACATATGGCATGGGCTAGGCCATATATATATATATATATATATATATATATATATATATATATATATATATATATATATATGCACAGTGAAACTCGGGTTACGACTTGGGCCATCTTTTCATAGAATTTAACGTTAAGCATTGTATTGTTGTTTTGTTCGAGACTTTATCTGGATAAGTGTTTTACGGTTTGGCAAGTTGTCCGTTGGACCCATCAACGGTTTTTATTTTTCTTTAATATATATATATATATTGTCATCCACAGATAGACTGTTTCACTGTATCACAGCTCTTCAGTGTGGCTATATATATATATATATATATATATATATATATATATATATATAATGGAGTAAATCCGACATATTTTAATATAATTTCTGTTTATACGTTATTTTTATGGGTACAACTTATTTGAGTAAATGCTCTGTTTTAATTAAAACGTATTAATTGCATTTACTGGCCTGAATATTCGAGAAATCTCGTAGAAAATTTGCGTCCCGACAGGAATCAAGTCTGTATCCCATACAACAACCGTCATTTGGCTTGACGTACTGTTAAATGTGATTAATACAGTTTAATTAAAAATAGGGCATTTACTCAAATAAGTTGTATCCATAAAAATAACGTTTAAACAGAAAATGTATTAAAATATTTGTCGGATTTAATCTATTGTAAAATATTTGTCTGATTTAATCTATTATATGTAATATATTGTCGTTGTTTACATTAGTTTCGGAGCAGAATTGAATTATCGAAAAAGGTCGTTGAATATGTGTGTTTATAAGCAGTAATTTGAACTTTGCTAAACTGGAGACTTGATGGCTGATATTAAGTTACACCGCATTAACAACAGTTTAAAATTTAGTGTCCGCCAGAAATTAACTAATGAAAACGATGTAATAAATGCCTATTCTCATCATATATATATATACATATATATATATATATATATATATATATATATATATATATATATATATATATATATATATCTGGATCATTAGATCTGCGATCTAACACAAAGACTATTTGTTTGGGAAAATTACATCATTATGCAGTTGACTTATTGATGTACCTCTGTATATAAAATGCTACATTAAAATTCTCGGAATTTCAACAGGTAGGCCGACCTGTTCAGCTATGACGTCATTCAGCGTTATCCGTAACTTATGTGCATTTTAAGCATCTCACGAAATCACTCCAGCAAGGGATTAAAAAAAAGTGAATTTCTATCGATTTTTGCTTTCTCTGGAAAAGTCATTCCGCGGTTTAAGTTCCCTGAACATTTGGGTAGCATCACGCATATGTACAGCGATTCTTTGAAAATTTTGTTAAACGATAAAGATGTCTGGATTCTGTATTGTAACCAATGATAGAAATACAGTTTGTCGGTCAGAAATGTTTAAACAAAAACAAAACAAAAATTGAATTGAAAGCGACAATGAAAAGAAAACTCGGAGATAATCAATTTTTGATTATCAGAGAAGAGTAGACGAATTCTTAAATGTTCTCGGAAATATCCGAATATTACTACGGAGAATAACTTCCATTGTCTAGCTTTCGAAGTACTTATAGAAATCGGAAATTAAAATAAAAGTTACAGAAGAGATTTGAAGCGACAACGATGTGGTTCTTTAAACGAATACAGAGAATACAAAATGTTGGTTAAAACAAGAGTCACAAAGAAAAAGAGGGTTAAGAGTTGCTTAAGGCGACAAAGACTGGAAACTGGGGAAAGCCGTGATCGCTTATGTCCTGAACATGGCTCATAAGAAAAGATAAGAAAAGCGGGAAATGATGCCCATTCAACGTTTTTTTTTCATCTCATCTTTTACGCCCTACTTTGGATGTACGTTGTGGGGTAACGGATATCGGCTTGGAACGCGAGAGTCAAGTTCGAATTCCAGTCGAGTTCGTGACATTCACTTACGGACAAATACTCTTGGCACCTAACTTAAATTAGGTGTTTGATTTGTTTTCTCAACCCTTTGCCAGAAACTATTTTAAGTATTTTGGGAGATAATAATGGCTTAGTGATACAACTTTTATTTATTAACCAATAACTGGATGTGGGGTGGATATGAGGTGAATTCATATCTTTTGTATTTGCACGTAAGTGAATAGAACGAATCTAATGGGAATTGGAACTCGGCTCTCCGATTAAAAATTCCGAGCCATTATCCATTACACCACCCACACATCCAAGCGTACAGCACCTGATATTTTAAAACGGTGACCTATCTAAGTACTGACTAGACTCGACGTTGCTTAACTTCAGTGATCGTACGGGAATCGGTGTTTCAACGTGATGTGGCCGTAAACCAACAGTTGTCAACCTAAGGAACAATATTTGTGTAAGGTATCCAGTACAGAGTTAAATATAGTATGGTTGTCAATCTTGAAATTGCCTCATTATCCGAAGTTAATAGTCCCTACAATACAATGCTAGTATTAACAACACAAGGACTGATTGCTGGGGATCGGAGCTCGTGATGACGGACTGCCTGGAAAATCAAAATTCAAAATACTTTAGCTGAAACATTTTTATTAAGATATTCAGATACACTTAGTTTTCAAACAACAGCATAAAAAGTGAATTAAATATCGTAATCAGTATTTAGTATGAGTCTCATCAGCACGAATTACAACCTCATCTTGACGTGCAATGGAGAAATACAACTTAAACTTTGTCATATCAAGAATTTTCTACAATTCCAAGGCACTTGCAAGTTCTTTGTTTTTTCTGCTCTGCAACCGATTCTCCAACACTTCCCCAACTCTCCTCCAATAGGTACAACTATGTATACGATTTTCTATAAATACTTTCATAGTAATTGTTCGCTATGATGCCTAGATACTTCGAATGTTTCACCAATTTACAGTTGAGCTGGCTCGATGTAACCGTAAATTCTATGCTAACAGTTTCTTTTCTCGCACTTCTCGCTTGTGGAACTCTCTTTCGGCTCCATGCTTTCCAGCCAACTTTAATTCTCAAAAATTTAAATGCAATGTCAATCGCTGTATACTGTCCTGATTACTCTTGCTCTGTTCTCGCTCGTTAGCAATGTTCAAATTCGTAACTCTTCCACACCCAGTAACCCCTTGCGTCTCTGTGGCTTTACTGTTTTGCTTGGGGTGAATTCGATTAAAAAAATGTTATGGTCAAGGCTTTGGTCAGGTGAGTCTTGTAATATTAGAATGTCTTCATTTGAAAGAAACTTCTTCATTATTCGCGATGTTTGGCAAAGTGATCAACCACGTTGGGATATTTCACCTTGTCATACAATCCTGTTTCCCGTTGATTTTTACTATTTCTTTTGGTGCATCCCTAAACCATTAATAAAAAAAAAGTATTATACTGTATTCGTTGTATAATTTTTAGAGTGGGTAATCTTTCACATAAACGGCGTAAAATAATGTGTCTTAGTTCTGCTTCCCTTAAACGGCGTAAAATAAATATCTTTAAATTTTATAGCTTTAAATGTTTGTTTAACGTAAATATCACGGTGGCTGGCCGATGTTGCCTTTGTCCTTGTTATTCAATGGTATCGAACGGGGATCGAGAAAGTTGAGGTACCGGATCGGCAAGTAGAGACTCTGAAAGAGGCGATTTCTTTTTTACAATAAGGTTCACCCTGTACAAGGCCAGAGGGCCACTCGAGGTAGAGGGTTGCGATAAGGAGTAGTTTATGTGTATAGGAGAAGATAATGGTTGGCTCTAGACTTGAATAGGTTAAGATTGTAGTGATCGGGAAAAAATCCTCTACGAAGTCTGTTCCATAGGGCAGTGGTTCGCGGGAAGAAGCTTTTTGATTGGAACTTACTTCTCACTGATGGAATACAGAGGGAATGTGGGTGTGGTTGCTACTATGCGATGTTTAACTGATATTCTAGTTTATTTTGAGGTTTCTGGGGTAAGGGCTGTTTTCGTGTAAGGGCGGTTTTGAGGTAAACGAGGATTTGGGGTATGTTCACAGTTGTAATGCTGCTTTCATCCATTACACGATGAGATGTCATTTTTGGTTTGGATAATCTTGCTAGTTTTCCTTGATCACTTTTTGTCTAATTGCAAAGGTCTATCAGCCTTTTTCACATCCAAAACGCTTCCAACTTCATCATGCTTCTTTTGGGTAACTTGGACAGCATGCCTTGCTATTCCATGCTGCTTAGTGATTTCAGGTTAACTCATTTTTTGTGACATTTCGATCAATTTCATCTTCTTCTCTAAACCCACACTTCCCATTTTGGAACTTAAATCAGCACCACTATAAAAAAGACAAAGACAATCCGCGATTGATTACTTAACATGAGTAATTTGCATGCGTATCTTAACCTGACATGAGGTTATCAAGACGGCCATAAATTTTGCATGCCCTATTTTCAGTATCACGACACATTCAAGTCCGTATTTTCCCTTGTGCTGTGTCCATGTGAATATGTCAACTTGTGTTACACTTCTAAATGATTCTAGATACCACTCCTGAAAGTACAATGTCGGATACTTACAGCTGTTAAGTAAAATTAAGTAAATTGTTTTGTTTTTACCATATGTCACATTGTACAGTACAAAGCAAAGCATATAAGTTAATAATTCTACCAAACTATATTTTTCACACTCAGTAACACTTGCGTCTTAGCGGCTTTATTGCCTTGCTTGGGTGCAATGATTAAAAAAAAAAAACAGCAAATAACTCTTTATCCAATTTTATAGCATTCCAGAAATTTTGTGACTATTTTTTTATTAATTTCAAGGAATTACAAAACACTAATCTCCTTCGAAGTAGGATCCTCTGACTTCAGTGCAGTTGTTGTAGTGACATCGCCTTCAGCCGTTTCCTTCATAACAAAACTTGGCAGGACAGAATATTAGATAATAATAAATGTAATAAATGTATACTAAAATTACAATAATCTGAGACAGTTAAAGTTATAACTACCTCCCCCAAAACTTACGGAATGTATTTCATAATTCTTCCGAAATATTCAATAGGATTTTACACAGACAGTATATACGAATAGGGATATATAAAAACTTACATCTACCCATTTTTATATCCTTCCCATTTACTATTGCTAAAGAAATGTCATTCTCTCTCTCTCTCTCTCTCTCTCTCTCTCTCTCTCTCTATATATATATATATATATATATATATATATGTGTGTGTGTGTGTGTGTGTGTGTGTGTGTGTGTGTGTGTGTGTGGAATATGTGTGGATAAAACGAAGAAATGAAGAAATAAACAATTTTCAACACGGTTCTACAAATTTAAATAAATTTATATTATTGAGTATTATTTTTCTTTCAAATTGAAAGAAACGAATTACAAAAATTCTTTGCGAAACAACTTCACACAAAATATTTTTGTTAGTCTTTCTTTACATTACAACCGAATCAATAGCGTTAGTATAGAAGAAACAATCTGTCTACATATGTGAATGAGCGTGTCACAAATTTATGTAGTTTTATGTATGCGTGTATTTTCATAGTAGCAGCGCCTAATAGGCAGTAGGCTGTGTTAACACTACTGCTTACGTTTGTAAACAAACTCATTCCGTTTGTTTTGTAATATAGTATACTCGAATAAATATGCGAAAATGGGAGTAATTAATTAAGGTCTGAGAATTTCAGTTTCTATAACAAACGAACGAACCCTGGTCGAAACTTAACAGAAAAACAAATTCTGCGAACTAATATTCCAGAAAGGTTCCAGAAAGAACAAAAATTAGATTTTACTAAACTCATAAGTTTATTGGTCAATAAATATTTTCCCAATTTTAAATATCTATTTTAAGGAGGAAAAATATTGTTTAATAATTTTCTGTAGTGATCCTACAAAATTTCATAGCAGACAATAAGCTTAGTCGTCTGTAATTTCAAAAGTCTCAGCGCTTTTACACATAAGGTCGCTGATTGGTTAATATATGCATATATAGACATTCAAATTGGAACCTAAAAATTGCACAAAAATGAGTCAAATATTCTGTAAGCCGGTGTAAGTACAGAATTGGGGCTTTTATAGATATCATTAAAATTCATTGCATTTTACTGTAATTCTTTAATGGGGTTACAAACACAAACGCGCACACACACGCACACACACACACACACACACATATATATATATATATATATATATATATATATATACTGTGTGCAATGGGTAAATTGTTGTTTGTTTTTGATTTTGCCCATTATAGTTTGTGTTTGTAACCCCATTAAAGAATTACAGTAAAATGCAATGAATTTTAATGATATCGATAAAAGCCCCAATTCTGTACTTACACCGGCTTACAGAATATTTGACTCATTTTTGTACAATTTTTAGGTTCCAATTTGTTTACAAACCCGGAGGGAGAAGAGGGTATTTGCGCGTAAGTGAATATAACGATCATATTCTGGAATTGGGAATCGGTTCTCCGATCAAAAATTCCGACTGTTGGTCAAACACTCTGCCTGGAGGCAGAGAGAATCCCCAGACGAGGTTATGTCGAAGGGTAGAATCTCGCCTCGAGAAACAGCTACCCGATTCCATTTTATACGACGTCTACGGCGAATTTTTGGCCGAGACTACGGGTTAGGATACTCCACATTAGATTCGGCCTTGTGCCACATCTGACCGCATGGGGCGGTTGGTAGATATCCTGCAGTTGGAGATTAATTGTGGAGTTCATTTGACTCACTTCTAGCAGTTGACTACTACTACGCACTGCTGGCGAATCTTATATGTGTTGTTCTTGTCCTAAGTAGTATCGTTTATTATCAACCTTCGTTTGATTATTCTATTCAGTAAGATTCCCTAGGTTACAACAAATATGTAATCTTGTGTTTCCGCGGAGAAAATGAAAAGTTACGATTTTAAAAGTTTTGATACTCACGACAATTGTTTATTTTCGTTTAGTTGTCACAAAATTCACATTGTCGATTACAGACATGCACCAAATTATTATTGTCATTTTAAAAACAAAGTAAGTTTGATTTTCTTGAAACACTTACCTAATGCATACAAACGACTCAGAAATCGATTGGTTGTTAGGATATTTACCTGCTTACTCTGAAATTAAAGTCTCTGGTTTTATATATGCACGTAAATCGAACATCGTTTTCATCCTGTCTCCGAAGGTAAGCATTATGGGTAAGGTCACGCACTTACAACGTCTCAATAAATTTAATTAAGAAAGCGCTGATGCATATGTTGTAGCGGCTGGTGGTTGTTGGTGGGAGATATTTGGTGAGCGACGTATATTTATGTGAGAGAGATAATGCCGTAATAGTATTTTTGTCACAGGCTCGTGATTGTACCAACTGGCAGTGTTCGATCAC